ACACGTTACATGTACTTACTATTATAATAACAATTAATTAAGCATAATTACATACAAGTAACCCTAATCCAAACCCTAAATAATCCTAACCCTATAGTAAGTACATGTATTTAATTAATATTACTCAGTACTTAAATGTATAATTACACTGTAACAAGGACACCTTAAAATAAAGTGTAACCCAACTTCCTAATGTATGATGATTATACTAACTTTGAAAAAAAAAAGTCAAAATGCTTTGCATAATTTTGAACAGTATGAAAATATTAAAAATATTATATTTTTAAGCGAGGCTCAACTGTCCAAATACTTTTTACAAATATTTAAGCCACTGCACTTTCATTTTTTGTGTATCACAGCCACCATTCAAACTCATTATTAATAGGAAATAGCATCCTCATGTTAACTTATAGAGAAGTTTTATAATACTATTCATAAATTCATAACTTGACAACTATTAAAGGGGCACATTTATCATTTTACAAAGCTGCATTGCATAGTAAAGGAAGAGAAAGACAGAAAGACAGTCCTGAGGAACAGCAGGAGAAACTAATACAATAATGCATAATATCCAAGCAAAATCAAGTACTTTGAATACACTTGCGTGAGATTTAACAAGCCAGAACATACAATGGCAACCTTGTCAAAAAGTCAATTCAGAACAGCTGGTTTGCTAAAGTTCACTGGATCAAGTCGCTCTGCTATCCGCTATTTTAGTCTGCCATGCAAACAGTGGCTGTCCAATGCAAGGTTGAACAAAAAGCCAACGGAACGGCACTAATACACATTAAATCATCTTTAAACCATCACAATCATTCATATACATATTCCCTTGATCCCAACAGAGGAAATGATCAAACTTTCTTTAAAAAAAATAAATTAAAGGAAACAAAGAAAAGAGACAGCATGCAAACTTACTGCTTGGGTTGCTGTTTTCAAACCATTTGTCCAAGGATTTCTTAATTCCAAGTAATGTAGCCTATGTCTAATCAGGAGGACAAAAACAAGGCCTTTTCTTTCTCTCCGAAGTTCTCTTTCAGATCTCACACTCAGGCACAGTAAGCTGTTGTAAGACACCACTGGATGAAGGAAAGAGAGACAGACAGAGAGAGAGAGAGAGACAGAGAGAGAGAGAGAGAGAGAGAGAGAGACTAAAAAAAACTAACATTCTGAGGATTCTTGGAAAAATGCCAAAGTCCCAGAATTCTTCGTGCCATACAGAAGGTTTCAATTAAGTCAGACTCCTGTGGCCAATCGGAGATTTTCTTGAATATTCTTTCTCTTTTTTTTATAGTCCAACAGCACTTAGAAAAAGCTAAATTCAGGACAGCAAGTATTAAGTTTATAACGTCTTTCAGAATGTTTTATGTGCATATGATATTATTTTCCTTTGCCATATGTTGGCTCTCACTGGTCATTTCAAATGTATTAAAGACGCAGTGAATTTTCCTTTCTCTATGTACGTTTCTTTGCATTTATTGTCCTATATCCTGCTTATAAAAAGTATTAATTCCTGGAAAAGTATGGATAGGTTGGGTGGGACCTGATACGACATATAGATCTGGTTGTAACTCTGGAATTATTCATCAATATAACTTAAGTTCTTAGTGAGATCTCAGAATTTAGTTTGCCTTCCCCTTTAAATCCCTCCTCAGTCTCTATAGAGGAAAACCATTCTGTAAGATAATGAGAAAAGCAGTCCCAACTTTTTTTTCACCATTAGCTTTGGCTAGGAACAGGCTATTTAATTATAATTTATAGATGGAAAACCGATACAGAACTATTGTTACAGGAGAAAAAGCAATACAGTTTCTCCACTGATTTGAAGAAACACAAATCTGTACACTGCGTAATTTGATAACCACTAAATATCAAACAGTTTACCATAATTAAAAGCCTAAAGAATGGCCCCCCCAGTTACTTGTCATTATCCAAAGCCACAGACAGTACATTATTTGCACGAATCATCTGCCTGGATATTTGTAGATTCCTCAAGTGCACAAAAGTGACAGGATACAAAGAAATCCAGGTTGTGGATTGTCTATATTTGATCTTGAACAATCAACATTTGTGCAAGCAACCTAGATTTAAAACTTCCATTAAATACATCCTCATGGTTCCAACACTCCACATTCATTTTCAATAAATTCTTCTCTAATTTCCGAGCTTTGTGGGATGTTTATACAGGGATTGAGATTGATGGATTTAGGTTAAGCAATGAGACAAACACTACCCAGATTCAACCATGTGATAAGTGTAAACAGATACACTTAAAATGTTTAAAAACATTTCTCTACTCAGTTTACCCCCCCCTTTTTTTGTATTAGGGTACAATGAAAACCTCTCAGAAGTCACCAAATTAAGTGGCAGGAACTGATATTTTCATTGCCAATTCAATTTACCCGAATAGGAAGAAAAAAAAATACCATGCTTAAAAAAGATCTTGAAGGGTGCCCGTTTATACTAATCACATGCTTGAAACCAGGAAGCATTTGTCAAGGAATTCCTACAAATGGTTACTGAGAATAGTATACAGAAATTAAGGTAAACAAACAAATCAACCATTCATTCAGATCAATTATTTTATACATGGATGCACAAACTAACCAAAACGGTGCAGACAAAGGCTAATCGGAAAAGTGAGATAGGAAGAATGTAAAAGAGAGAGAAGGTGTCTCAAAGTGCACACTTTCTGAAGCACTGTAAGTGGCAGCAACAGATTCCAACCAATCAGAACCTCTCCCTTAAACCCTGTGCTGGAAAGTCTGATGCAATGTCACATTCTCACTCACTTTTTCTGGACGAAAAACATACCTGTCAAAAACAGACATCCATAGAGAAGACCAAACTTTGTTTTACATGCATCTACATTTTCAGAGAGTGGAACAGATTAAGCAGGAATGCCTAAAATCTTAGCAGTGTCCTTTCCATTCATGCAATCTACAGCATTGCGTATCATTTGATACATCTATATATAAATTAAATGGCTAAATTCATCAGTTCCAATTCTAGAAAAAAAAGAAAAGAAAAAAAAACCCACTGCACATTGATATAAAAATAAGTCTTCGCAAAATAAATAGTTTGATTAAAAAATTATTTGATTGTGATTGGCCTTCTGGCACCCTTCCTTCATTTTATTGCACAAGAATTTCACGGTTTCCGCCACCCTGGCAAGAGATAAAGAGTCTTCATTCTGGTTTCAATGCCGCAGCTGGCTCGAGGTTCACAGGCCGTTCTTCACAAGCTCGTGGACACCGTTCTCATCGATGACCAGAGTGGGCTGGAAAGCTTGTCCATTCACAAGATGCTCCAACCCCTTGGAAACAAGAGAGACTATTAGTTATTTGAAATAGGAACTAGCAAGTAGAGTACGAGGCACTAAAAAAATGCTTTTTTGTTCTTGCACCTAAACCATATATTACCATATAATACTCTGGGATTGATATTCAGATTAAAATATGCCTTTATGCCTCTTACCTCACCACCATAAGACACAAGAGGAGAGATCTCACATTTGATTGGCAGGTCTGTTCCATCCTTCAAGCTGTGATAGGCAGAGCACCAAAATGAGTTATAGATTTTAATACGCATTAATTTAAAAGATTTTAATACGTTTTGCATTTCCAGATCAAGCATGTCTTATAAGATTTTAAATGAGTTTAGCCAATGCTAGATTTGATATCAATTCAAAATAAGACTTGTTTAAACTTACAAATAAAAAATAAAAAAGAGATATTTTCGCTTCAGTAATCAAAATAAATTAATTCCACTACAAATTATTCACCCATTAGATACAATTTTGATCACCACAATCAATTTATGCACAATGCAAACATTTTGAATCCATTTAAATATTCATAATACAAAAATTGTGCCATTTTCTGTCATTTTGCAATTGAGGAAAACTTGATTATAAGTTTCTGAACCATATTAATTGTTATAGTGATGAGCAACCTTGTTCCATTCAGCATGCCTGATGCCCATTTCCCATCATGCATATTATTCTGCCCATTAGTAGCTGCTGTTTGGGTCAGAGCTGGTTAAAAGATGCCAACCTTTACCACGGCCATCTGGGATTGGACACCTTCTCCCACTGAACTCTAACAGCTACACGGAATCTACTAAGAATGAAGCCCCATCACCATGCACTACATACGACAGTGAGAATAGTTACTTCTGGCTGACTTCAGGTGTAACTGTCCCTGCTGGTCCATGTCTAGAAATGTTACACAGGAAATATAGCGTGGTTACACTATAACTGAAGATAAAGGGGAGTGAAACTGAACACGGGTGAGAAGAAAATGTATACAACGTAGGGCTGGACGATATGGCCAAAATTTATATCACAATATATTTCTTAATTTCGGTCGATACGATATAATTCCGATATCAATATGAACACTATTAAAAAAGCCTCATAAGAACGGCCACAACAGATGTCTGTACCTACAAACTTATGAAAAATTAATTTGCCAACTCTATGAAACCTACTCCTATAAAACTATATAATATTTTAGGAAAAAAATGGCGCAAATAAATAAATGTTCACCTTTTATTGGTATTTAGCCTTCATACAAACAAGAAATGTGAAATCACTGTCAAATAAATCTCAGACTCGCCTTATTAATATTTTTTACTTCAAACTATAGGCTAACATACCAGTCAAAAGTTTTTGAACAGTAAGATTTTTTATGTTTTTTAAAGAATTCTCTTCTGCTCACCAAGCCTGCATTTATTTGATCCAAAATACAGCAAAAACAGTAACATTTTGAAATATTTTTACTATTTAAAATAACTGTTTTCTATCTGAAAATACAATTTATTCCTGTGATTTCAAAGCAGAGCTTTAGCAGCATTACTCCAGTCACATGATCCTTCAGAAATCATTCTAATATTCTGATGTGCTGCTCAAAA